TCATGGTGGTGGTTGTTAAAATCATGGTCGTGGTTGTTATAATCATGGTCGTTGTTATAATCATAGTCGTGGTTGTTATAATCATGGAAGTGGTTGTTATAATCATGGTCGTGGTTGTTGTAATCATGTCGTCGTGGTCGTGTTATAATCATGGTCGTGGTTGTTATAATCATGGTCTGGTTATTTGTGTCATGGTCGTGGTTGTTAAAATCATGGTCGTGGTTGTTATAATCATGGTCGTGGTTGTTATAATCATGGTCGTGGTTGTTATAATCATGGTCGTGGTTATTATAATCATTGTCGTGGTTCTAATCATGGTTGGGGTTGTTATAATCATGGTCGTTGTTGTTATATTCATGGTCGTGGTTATTATAATCATGGTCGTGGTTGTTGTAATCATGGTCGTGGTTGTTATAATCGTGGTCGTGGTTGTCATAATCATGGTCGTGGTTATGATCATAGTCGTGGTTGATATAGTCATTGTCGTGGTTGTTAAAATCATGGTCGTGGTAGTTATAATCATGGTCATGGTTGTTATAATCATGGTCGTGGTTGTTATAATCTTGGTCGTAGTTGTTATAATCATGGTCGTGGTTGTTATAATCATAGTCGTGGTTGTTATAATCATGGTCGTGGTTGTTAAAATCATGGTCGTGGTTGTTATAATCATGGTCGTGGTTGTTATAATCATGATCGGTGTTGTTATAATCATGGTCGTAGTTATGATCATAGTCGTGGTTGTTATAATCATGGTCGTGGTTGTTATAATCATAGTTGTGGTTGTTATAATCATGGTTGTGGTTATTATAATCATGGTCGTGGTTGTTATAATCATGTTCGTGGTAGTTATAATCATGGTCGTGGAAGTTATAATCATGGTCATTGTTGTTATAATCATGGTCTTGGTTGTTATAATCATGGTCGTGGTTGTTATAATCATAGTCGTGGTTGTTATAATCATGGTCGTGGCTGCAATAATCATGGTCGTGGTTGTTATAATAATGGTTGTCGTTATGATCATGCTCGTGGTTTATGATCATAGTCGTAGGTGTTATAATCATGATCATGGGTGATATAATCATAGTCTGGTTGTTATGATCATAGTCGTGGTTGTTATAATCATGGACGTGGTTGTTATACTCATGGTCGTGGTTGTTGTAATCATGGTCGTGGTTGTTAAAATCATGGTCGTGGTTGTTATAATCATGGTCGTGGTTATGATCATAGTCGTGGTTGTTATAATCAAATGACGTGGTTGTTATAATCATGGTCGTGGTTGTTGTAATCATGGTCGTGGTTGTTAAAATCATGGTCGTGGTTGTTATAATCATGGTCGTGGTTGTTATATTCATGGTCGTGGTTATTATAATCATGGTCGTGGTTGTTATAATCATGGTCGTGGTTGTGATACTTACAGTATCTAATATATTATAAGAAGGAATAGAATAAAGGTTAGAATAATTAGTTAAAAGAATTATTCGCCATAAGGAGATTAAAATCATAAAAAAAATATATGAATCACCGATGAAAATTCCGAGATAAATTATATTATGAAGAAGTGACCATGATTCTGGTTACATTAGTCACCATCTGCTTAAGTCATCACCTGTGTTAAGTCATCAATAGTCATCATTAGGGCCGGATAGTTATGCACTAAAAACCATGAACTATGCATGCAAATATGCACTAAAACCGGGAAATATCATTCATATGCACTAAAATTGTCCTTATAAAGCCAAGAATGCAGGTTATACGGAAACAAAATAGTTAATATAAACTAATGTTAATGTTTATTAAGCAATATACGTAATGTATTTAACATATATATGTGATGCTTCAAAAAATATATATGAACATGCATTTACATTTACATTACATCTCCCAACACACCAAAAATAAGATTCACAATACACCGTTTCAACATCAGTGGTTTCATCAGTGACACCCACATTTTCTTTCCACAAGCCTTTCTCCTTATGATTTTCATCGTGTCCTTGAACAATTGGAAACAGTTCTTACGTAATGTTGATTCGTCAGGCACCTTTTTCCAGTATACTGTTCCAGGAATGACTTTAGGCACTTGTTATTCAGTTTATGCAATGGAATATCCGCTGAAACAAATGCCTTGCACAAATCTGCGTTGAACTGGGAACGATCAGGCCCTGACTTACTGGAACAGAAGTAGTTGTTGCTCCTTTTGTGCACTATTGACTTAACAGCTTCGAGTCGGATGTGCTTGCTTGTTTTAAGGTGTTGTTGACTTGAAATTTCTTGCTCGCTGTCACTGGTGCTTCACAATATTTACAAACAGTACACTTCCATCAGTAGTAAATGCATCAAATTCTTTACATATGATCTCAGCACTTCATTTGGTTTCTTTGTACTTTCCGCATTTCACGAGCAGCAGAGGAGTAGCTCCACACAAGCACTGCTCTGCTGACTAACTCACTAGTCAATGAGTCATGACCAGGTGTGGAAACGACAGATTAAAGCGACGTGACCTCCTCACTTCACCTAACCACCTCACCTCACCTCCCAGTACCACGTGTGCTCATTCAGTGGCAACAAAGAGATACTGCCAGATGAATATTTTACAAAATATGCATTTATATGCAGTTATCTAGGTAATATGCACTTATCATAGAAATCACGCAAAATATGCATGCTATGAAATATGCAAATGCATAACTATCCGGCCTAGTCATCATCTACGTTAGTCAGTTTTAGGCCCATCTCACATGACTGACCGACCATCGATGTTCTTTCCGCGCGAGGGTGTTAGTTTTCAATGCGTCTTATTATTTACGCTGGTGGATGTAAGAGCAGCTACCCTCACTGACGCAGCTATGGTCAATTTGGTGTTATTCTTGTTTATAAATGCCTTCTAATCTGTCTCAAGTCTATCCGTCCTGTCAATTGCCATCCCAACTGTCTGTTCGTCTGCGTGGTGTTTGACTGTCAGCCCGTCTGTACTAATGTGAACCAGTCAGTCAGCTGTCTGTCTGTCATGTTAGTTGCCATATTGTCTATTTGTGCATGTATGAATGTCTATTTTTGTCAACCTCCTGTCTGTTTCACTGTCTATATTCACCCTGTGTCTATTGTAGTCATCTTCTCCATGAATTCCTGTTATTATCCTTTTATTTCTTCTCCTTTTCCATGAGCCACAGGAGTAAGTATACACTGTAGCTGTAAGGTCGTCTGGTAACGTTGAAACTGCGCATCCAGACGCATGATGAAACTCAGCTCCCCCCCCCCACCTGTTATCTCTAACTATTTTCTGTTTCCCCTTCTTTATTCTTCTATTTACTCATCTTCCTTCCTTTACTAATCCAAACAACAGTAAAAAAGTAGGCTAAGAAAAAAGTGGGGGAAGGAGGAGGGAGCCGTACGATAACTGCAATCGTGGACCGACAGCATACAACGAATGAGGGTGCGCCAAGTCCGTAGACTTGCATCGTTTTCCAGCGTAAATAAAATGGTTATGTAATGGCTTCCTCAAGAAACCATCGACATGGGACCAGGTTTGTTCCACTCTACAATTTTTTTGCGATTTTTCCACCAAGTTTGATGAAAAACGATTGTGCCGTTTCAGCTGCCCAGAACAGACACACACACACACACGCCTAGTCCTATAGTATATTAGATGCGAGCTCTACGGCACTGGCAGTACAAGTCAAATGTCCAGCTGATCTGGCCGCTAAGTCCAGTGACTGTTCCTCTGAGCGTTTTACCTCCCCCCTGACTGTGCGTATAAAGCGCGTATTTACATCGAGTTTTATCAGTTACATAAATGATTTGGGATACTGTATATACAGCCGTACAAACTGTAGTTCATTACCTATTGTGCTATATTTTTGGCATCATTTGTTTGTTTGCCTTATTTTTGGTTTAAAACAAATATGAAGAAACTTCATTCGAAAGCTAATTTAATTTTTGACTTCGACCTTTTATGATTAATACGATATTTAAAATTTTCTAACATTCTCTCTGAAGTGCTAATGCCTTGAAATCAATTGCATTTTGATAGTCCAGTTATTTAACATTATTTTAGATAATAACAGGTCTGCTTACCAGTTGTGAACATATTTAGTATGAATAAATGGACAGCTACATTAACATTTTCTATGAACCAATCAGCTATCTTTATAGAAGAGGGGCGTGGCTTACGGGCCAGGTTAGCGTGGACAGGGTATAGTGCCCGAGTATCCCTGACCGCAGTGTTGAGAGGCAAGTGCGTTAATATTGTCCAATATCTTACTTGTTTTGCATAACAAAATGAACTTATGTTTTAGCAGGCTGGGGTAAAAACATACTGTACAAGGGAAGAATATTTGTCTGAGGTATTGAGGTGTTGTCCACCATTGCCATGGCCACCCGTAGCAGCGTGTTTTACTGTGGCTGATGTGAAGTGCGCATAGGAAGATAAAAGATGTGCTTTACTTTTTTTTATCCTCTTCGTCACTGATCGGCCTGTTAGCCGCTTGGGCGGTCTGTCACGTCTTTGTAACATAGCCTACTGTTGGTACTGGGCATGTACTGGCTCTAGTTTAGCATGTATGCGAGCCCTCAACAGTGTTAGTCAAGTCTGGCCTTGAATGAACTCTCACTCGGGGCCTTTACAACAGTGTACACGATCTGGTGAATATGTTCTTTAACATTAGAAGTGAATGTTTTCCTCCATAAAATATATTTCATCTATGTAAAATATCGTCCCTGCCAGGTAACTTTTGACCTCCGTGAACCTGACCTGTCTCCCAATGAGTATGATGACTTAACCTTTTGAATAGGATGAGAACTCTCCTTGAATCAGATGGCACTGCACTCAGGGGGCAAAATTATCGTACAGTACATCGTATAAATGGGTACCCTGCTGGCTGATATTCGAACAATAGGTATAGGATGGTCACCCAGGATGTCACTTTGTGATAAGCTTACACCCAGTCATCAATATTATAGTGGTGTTATTAGAAATAGGTAAAACAATAATAGCAAAATGATGGTAACTGTAAAAGATGAGTTTACTTACAACCATAAACATCGTCATGCCAGATGTGTGGATCTGACTGTCAGCTGCAGAGGCGGTGTTAGCTGGAACCGTCAGCTCACGAAACTCTTGTGTCTGTCGGTCAGCCCGTCACTCCAGACACTGACCCCGAGTCTCTCAGCTCCTTCACCTATACTGACTGCATATGACCCCAAATATATTGGTCTGTGGACGCATGCGCAGTCATACTTTGACCTCACATGTTTGTTTTAGCGAATTCGTTCCTTTATGTAACTAAACTTTGTGAAACCTTGAGAAAATATAAACAATTATCATCTCGGGGTGGTTCATTTGGAGCGTGATGCCATTATTACTTCAGCTACTGGACAAAGGCAAATAAACCTAGTACTGCACCACCATTGACTGGATTCATTGTTAAGCTTTGGCATCGTCCTGAAGGATTTAAGTCATTGTACTCAAGGGGTTAAGTAATTGCACTCCATTGTTTGCCATAATATTTTAGTGGTTAAGGTATTGTAATTAGATAAATAGATAGCTTGGTAGGTAAATAGATAAGAAGATAGATTGGAAGATAGACAGATAGATAGATAGATAGATAGATAGATAGATATAGTAAGAGTTTAAATTGAAGGTCATTATCACAAATATATATAATGACACATCGTTTCCCAGCACCCACACCCACACACTCTACAATATCCCTCCTACACCTTCCAACACCCCCCCCACACACACTCTACACACCCACACACACACACACACTCTACAATATCCTCCTACACCTTCCAACACACACACGCACACACACACACTACAATATCCCTCCTACCTTCTTTTACACACACACTACAATATCCCTCCTACACCTTCCAACACACACACACACACACACACACACACACACACACACACACACACACACACACACACACACACACACACACACACACACAACACACACACACACATATCCCTCCTACACCTTCCAACACCCCACACACGCACACACACACACACACACACACATATCTCGATGACCCAGAGAGTAATGACCATCTGCAGGAAGGGTCAACTGCCTCTTTCCCACGGTAGGCGGTTTAAGCTGTTGAGTCTGTTAGGATCGTGTGACCGTGTGACCAGCTAAGGGAATAAACAGTTTACTAGGAGGGCTGCCTCTTGCCGCGTCTCTGTTCCTCGTGGTACCCTTATAGCCATAACAAACTGACGGATTGAGTGTGAAAGATGACCAACTCCTGCAGCTGTGTGTGTGTGTGTGTGTGTGTGTGTGTGTGTGTGTGTGTGTAATAATAATAATAATAATAATAATAATAACAATAATAATTATAATAATAATAATAATTAACGGTTTATTGAAAAAGTTCTGCAGCCCGAAGGCTGAAAATATACATGAGACATAAATGACTTATTACATACATTGGTAGTTTAACAAAAGCCTTCATTAGAGAAAGGTAAAGGAACATAGTGTGCAGTGAACATACAGATTAATGTAGGTGTTGAACAGCAAACACGTAAACTCCCTCCCAGATGGTGTTAGGAGGGACCTCACTTGGTGTAGTAGTTCCCTCACAGCTGGTGTTATGAGGGACCTCACGTGGTGTAGTAATTCCCTCACAGATGGTGTTATGAGGGACCTCACGTGGTGTAGTAATTCCCTCACAGATGGTGTTATGAGGGGCCTCATGTGTGTGTTCCCCTCACAGATGGTGTTATGAGGGACCTCCGTGTGTAGTAATTCCCTCACAGATGGTGTTATGAGGGACCTCACGTGTAATAATTCCCTCATTGATGGTGTTATGAGGGGGGCCTCACGTGTGTAATTCCCCTCATTGATGTGTTATGAGGGACCTCACGTGGTGTAGTAATTCCCTCACAGATGGTGTTATGAGGGACCTCCGTGTGTAATTCCTCACAGATGGTGTTATGAGGGACCTCACGTGGTGTAGTGTGTGTGTGTGTGTGTGTGTGTGTGTGTGTGTGTGTGTGTGTGTGTGTGTGCGTGTGTGTGTGTGTGTGTGTGTGTGTGTGTGTGTGTATGTGTGTGTGTGTGTGTGTGTGTGTGTGTGCGTGTGTGTGTGTGTGTGTGTGTGTGTGTATGTGTGCGTGTGTGTGTGTGTATGTGTGTGTGTGTGTGTGTGTGTGTGTGTGTGTGTGTGTGTGTGTGTGTGTGTGTGTGTGTGTGTGTGTGTGTGTGTGTATGTGTGTGTGCGTGTGTGTGTGTGTTTCTCCTATTTGCCACCCCAGCGTACACCATACGCCTTTCTCCATACAATATCTTCCATACACCCTCCTACACACCCTAGCCACACACCCTCCCCAAGACACCCTTCCCTACACACACTCCCACACACCCTCCCCTACACACCCTAGCCACACACCCTCCCCAAGACACCCTTCCCTACACACCCTCCCACACACCCTCCCCTACACACCCTCCCACACACCACGTACCTTCTCCACCATACAGTAAACCGCGCATCACGCATGCGCTGTGATTAAGGGAGGTACTATATAATGTTGTGTTGTGGGCGTCTTCTCATAGTGCAGTATAGGTCAGGCTGGGGCATAAAGGCTGTTGTCTATTGCTGGTTTAGTCTCACTGTGGCCACTCCATCTGGCTGACACTTCATAAACACGCGGTCATGACGGCCATCAGAGTGAGTTAACTCTGACCTAAACTTACTTTGGACTACAGTGGAGTTTCATTGTAATTTCGTCGTCATTTTGATTTCAGTCAATAGGTCTTTACAAAAGTGAATCCGTTTTAAAAATATTGTGCACTTTCCCCGTCGTCAGTTGCGAGAAATGTTTAACTCAAGTTCTTTTGAAGATCCGTCTCAGGAATATTGCTTTTAATGGAGATGTTATAATTACGTAATTGGTTGTCTTAAATTAAAAAAATAAAATAAAATTACCGAGAGACTCTACACTAACAGGATACCTTCACTTAACAGAGACATTAAGGTACAGTACAGAATTTTGTCCAAGAGATCTTGCATCATAATTTTGTCTCCAAACTGATGTTAAGTGAGAGTATCTACAGTAAAGTAGACCTTTTAAATATTTTAATGTTATTTTAATATTTGATTTTTAATCAAGATTTTAGTACATTTTACTCCATATACCAGAAATTTTCATCATATCCTTAATGAAGAATTAGGAAAGAAATTATTACGGTTCGAAAAGGAAGTGACGTCATATATTTCATGTGTTGAAAATTTTGTGAACACGTAAATTTTATATATAATTTGATGGTCAAATCTGATAAAGAATTAGAGTTGAAGGAAAGTATACAAGTGTGTTTTGGCATTTATAGCTTGAATGAGAATGTGATATATTTTTATTATGATTCTTTGGAAATCTAACCTAACCTAATCACACCCAGGCTTTTCATATTGAAGGTAACAGGTAGTACTGTACTCTATAACCAGGTGGAGCTGTTCAAGAACGTCTAGGAAAGTCCACACTAGCTTCACCCATTAGTATTCCGCCCACTGTACATGGTCACAAGTCACAGAAGCCAAATATTTATTTCTTCACTGAATGTTGCTCCTTTATTAATGTTGATAAAAAGATTCTTTCATTTTGGTGGTTAAAAGGTTTTTTTTTTTTGGTTCTGGTAAAACTAAGTTGATAATGTAATTGTTGAAAGTTGATGCGGGAATGAAAAATCACAAGTCTCGCTTCTACGGTCGGCTTGAACACACCAGCCAGAAATCTTGTGAAACGAGGAGGCAAGTTGGCTTTTGAATTACGCTATGACTCCACCTTAATGGCCTTAGCATTAGTTATGATGCAAAATTAACGCACATAGTCCAGTTCATTGTGTAGTTAATTCACAAATGTTTCCTCGTACCTGCAGGTGCTAGTGGTGATGGTGATGGCAGTGGCTGTGACCAGCGCCTTAGGCCCTCACACAGGTTACCAGCAGGCTAGGAGCTACGCCCTCGGTCCTTTCAGAAGTCAACAGGTCCGGTATTACGCTCGAGGTCCTAACATAAGCCGTAACTACAGACGGAAGTGGAGATGTCCCCGTCAGATCTCCTGTCCCGCGTCTAACCCTTACTACAACCCCTGCTGCCGCCCTCCACCCCCTCTACCCCCTTGGTATCCGACATATCCACCCACTTTACCACCAACTCCTCCACCCACTTTACCACCAACTCTTCCACCCACTTTACCACCAACTCCTCCACCCACTTTACCACCAACTCCTCCACCCACTTTACCACCAACTCTTCCACCCACTTTACCACCAACTCCTCCACCCACTTTACCACCAACTCCTCCACCCACTTTACCACCAACTCTTCCACCCACTTTACCACCAACTCCTCCACCCGCTTTACCACCAACTCCTCCACCCACCTGGTATCCAACTTATCCGTCAACTTATCCACCTACACCTCCACCCACTTGGTATCCAACTTATCCGCCCACTTACCCACCTACACCTCCACCCACCTACGTTCCACTTCCACCAGTATATCCACCACAGCCTCCACTACCGTAAGTCACCTATCAATCATCGTGTACAGTATTGTCTCAGAATTTAACCATGTAGTTGTCGCGTCCGTCTCTCTCTCTCTCTCTCTCTCTCTCTCTCTCTCTCTCTCTCTCTCTCTCTCTCTCTCTCTCTCTCTCTCTCTCTCTCTCTGGAATTTTCGAGAAAAAGATGCATGTGATTTAGATGCCACACCACAGTACTAAATATCTCCTTGGTATTTAAACAATTTATTGCTGATTTTACCATCTGTCAGTAACACTAATGGAATCCACACAATTACGGTATATTATTACTGTAATTTTGGGGGTCAAGCGAAGATTAGGTCCCCCCAGCTTATTTCACCTGAAGATTAGGTCCCCCAGCTTATTTCACCTGAAGATTAGGTCCCCTCCCCCCAGCTTATTTCAAGTGAAGTTTAAACACCCTAACGCTATTTGGAGATTAGATTAAGTTAGAGTTACCGTTATACAGTATTAGGTTAGCGCTAAGTTAGGCTAGCGTTAGGTTAGGTTATGTTAATGTAGGTTAGGTTAAGTTTGAGTAGCGTTATGTTAGGTTAAGTTAGAGTAGAGTTATGTTAGGTTAAGTTAGAGTAGAGTTATGTTAGGTTATGTTAATGTTAGGTTGGTTAATTTTAAGGTTAAATAAACGTATGGTTAACTTTCCACGCGTTACCATTCTAGGTGCGGCGGACCCTTCGTCCCGTGTGGTTGCCCAGCCTTGCCTCCCACACCTCCGCCTATCTGCCCTCTCCTGGCCGCAGCCGCCGCCCGTGGGAGACGAGCTAAGCGATCCACGAGGGTAAGCTGAGTCCAAAACTAAGTAGTGTTTGTGTTAATTAGTTGTGTTTGTGTTAATTAATTGTGTTTGTGTTAATTAGTTGTGTTTGTGTTAATTAGGTGTGTTTGTGTTAATTAGTTGTGTTTGTGTTAATTAGGTGTGTTTGTGTTAATTAGTTGTTTGTGTTAATTAGTTGTGTTTGTGTTAATTAGTTGTTTGTGTTAATTAGTGATGTTTGTGTTAATTAGTGGTGTTAGTGTTAATTAGTGGTGCTTGTGTTATTTAAGTAATGTCTTAGAGTTGCCAGAAAATGTAGAAATGAAGAGTTATTTGGCTCTCTCTCTCTCTCTCTCTCTCTCTCTCTCTCTATCTATCTATCTATCTATCTCGTAATAAACTAATTTACTGATTTAAAATTCTCGTTGTCAGCGGAGATGTTTCGTGAACGGTCACTGCCCATCCGGTTACTCATGTTGCTCGAATGGCTGTCCCCACCACTCAAAACTGTGTATCCCAAGCACCACCACCACACCACCCTCACGCCCACGCCAGGTGAGAGAATGGTGGGAAAAGGTTGTCTGCATGTTTAATAGTTTACCATATACAGTGAAAACTCTATTTAACGGACTATACGTAGATCAAAGTCTGATATATCAAGGATCCCTTAGAGTCGAAAGCTCCATTTAAGTAACTATATAGAAAAAAAGAAGTCCGTTATATCGAGAGTCCGTTAGATGTAAGTCCCCCATCTAACGGATTATTTGAAAAGAGAAGTCCTTTATATAGAGGTTTTACTGTCCATAACATTGTCTACCAGATGCATTAGAAGAAAGAAACAGACACTAACTTAACAAAAATCAAAAGTAAATATCACTTTATGTCCTGATTTATTATTATTATTTTTTTTATATTATTATCATTATTATTATTATTATTATTATTATTATTATTATTATTATTATTAGTAGGGTGAATGAGTAACGTTTAGGTGAATGAGTAACGCTTAGGTGAATGAGTAACGCTTAGGTGAATGAGTAACGCTTATGCACCTTACTCAAGTTATTATTGCAGAGTTTTAACACTTAACCTGACTATACAATGTAGAGCTTTTAGGCGCAAACTACAGTCAATGTACAGTTAGAACTATATAGTGTGCTTGTAACAGGAGTGGTTGTGTGTTCGGTAGCTTGTGTGCTCGTAGATGCTTCCTCACTTCACATGTCACCCAGAACACTTGAGAATCCAGTTTGTTGTCACTTCCTTAATTAAATAATTAAATGTGTTCTCGCATATTCAGTCAAGAACAAAACTTAATTGATATGCAAAGTTTTGAGAATCCAATTTTGTGTTGAAGTTTAAGTGAATCAGTCAGATGCATTGTAACATCTTCAGTTATAGTGACAGTAAGTTGGCCTATACGTAATACCATTTAAGAATCCAGCTTACTTGCACCAGCTGGTTAGATGTAATTTTATTCAGAAAATATGTCATACAAGTTTACAATTGATTCAACATTTATAATATATATGTAATACAAGTATACAGTTCGTTCAGCATGCATATACTGTAGACAATGCATACATTATTCGATGTATATACAATGTACATACACCATGCAGGGATACAACTATGTACATTTGCGAACAAAATTCCCTGGACACTTGGCAGTATCTGGCGTGTGAGCACTTGAGGGTCAGAGGGTGAGGAAGATTGGAATTTTAACGCATTTTTCAAGATTTTTTCTTTTATATTCAAGTGTTTTTTCTCCATTTTGTGGTTCCTACATTATTAGATATAAACCAATCATATATATGATCTAGAGGTCGATGCCAGATACTGTCAAGTGTTCAGGGAATCTTGTCCGCAACTGTACGTGGTCAGGGCGGTTGTACAAAAAATGGTAAACAGTGAAGAAATTCGACCAAGTATAACCAACAAGTCCAATTGGTGGTTTTCTCCAGTAGGGCACAACCCTTTGAGAACTACATGACCACAGATAGATGACCTTGAGTCACCACCCACAGGTGAAGGTGAGCGTGATCATGACCTCAGCGTGTAGTGACACTATCAACTTTTTCAAGAACTATTTGCTGCCAGCCACCACCGCCCTCAACAACAGCCTTCACGTGGAGCTGATACCTTACGGCAAACTGAACCAGGTAGGTCTCTCTCTCGTTAAGCTGTTCAAAGTTGGCGTGATATTATTTCAGGCGCAGTTTCGTGTCAGCTGTCAACCCCTTGTATGACCTCATAGTAATTTTAGATCTTGTAGTCATTTTTATCTACATACCCGGAAAAAACCCTAGAGAACCTGAATAGCCCTGATGCTGTTCGTCCATCCGTCCGTTGTGGTCAGTAGACAAATGATTTACACACAGTAGTGTTACGAGTTGGGGATTTAGAATACAGTTAAAAGTCTACCCAGATCCCAACAGGCAACAACAAAAAAAACAAAGACAATCGGACTATAAAAGGGTAGACAAGGATGCGAGTTTTTGTTGTGTATAATAGAGTACCATAAATTCCTTAACAAAATATTCAGCTATCTATAATTTACCCTTAACCATACTTAGCCTAAACATTAACAGTATATACATATTTATACAACATACAATAATTTGAAGCAAGGTGGAGCTGGGGAGGCAATATAAGATTACAAATACTTAAGTAAGGAGCTGAGATGGCTGACGAGTAAGGCTGAGTATTGTAGAAGACGGTAGGTAGTCACTGTGACGTAGGTTTCCAGAAAAGGTGATCCTGTGGTCACTTCCCAGAGTGAAGTCTCTTTCCTCGAATTGGAGCTGACAAAGAAGACTTTGAGGAGGTGACGCAACAACCAGGATATGGAGAAGGGAAACCCCGGAGTGGTAACTAAGACGAGTCATACTCGTGTTTCGTCCCTAGATGGCGTTGCTCGTGGTGCTGGGTAGGTAGATCATGACAATAGATGGCGTTGCTCGTGGTGCTGGGTAGGTAGATCAGGACAATTGGTGGCGGGGTTCGTAACAGTAGCAAAGTCCTTCCGTGTGTATCAGATCCAAACTTCATTTACAAGGTATTTATAAACACCTGATGAACGAACACCTGCTCTTTTGGTGTTGGTCGAGGGATTAGTGTTTATCAATTTTTATATATTTATTTATTTATTTATTTATTGTGGGTCAACAGTGCCAGAGTATCCTTCGTTAATAACCACTGGATGTCACGCTCTCTCCTCTCTGTGTTGCTTCATCGACCTCTATCTTCCTGCTACTAATGAACCCCTCACCACCTATACCTTACCTTTCCATCCTCTTGTTCTTCACTTCTCCCTCCTGTCATCCACTTATTATATTTCTTCTTCTTATCAATTCTTTCTTTCCTATTCTGTCAATATGTCCACAGCACCTGAGACCCTGATCCACTTACTCAAAGACACTTATTTCACTTTCAAGTCCTCTTATTTCTGGATGTGTTTTGTTGTGTGGTTCCTCTTTATCCAAAATTGCCTTAACTCACGTAATTTCTTTGGCTTTTAATTCACGTCTTCCTCTTGGTCATCCACAGGCCAAAGCTTCACGCCTCTGTAATGTTGTCCACTCAGAAGTTCCCCCTCACGTAACACAACAATCTTTACCTGTATCATTTTCTCTCACTCATACATTTTTCTATTAATCTTTTACTCTTTTTTTCCGCTATTATTTGAGTTTGTTAATCACTTACTATTCCATTTACTGACTATAACACTCCCAGATAATCTAAAACAGTCTTCTTCCTCCATTCAACGATAAATTGTAAATATCCGGCTGTGTTTTGACTTATTTTTATAACCTTTCTCTTATAACTCTTCCAGATTCATTTACTAACATTTCTAACTTTCCTTTGCTGTCATCCCACGAGAGCAGAGTCATTTCTGTATGTTGCAGCTGACTCCCCTCCCTCCTCTCCATCACCCTCGCCTCACCTCCCACCTCTCCATCACCCTCGCCTCACCTCCCCACCTCCATCACCCTCGCCTCCCACCTCCCACCCCCTCCACCTCTCATCACTCTCCGCCTCCCACCTCCATCACCCTCACCTCACCTCCCACCTCTCCACACCCTCGCCTCACCTCCCACCTCTCCATCACCCTCACCACCTCCACCTCTCCACCCCCTCCACCCCACCCCTCACCTCACCTCCCACCTCTCCATCACCCTCGCCTCCCACCTCTCCATCACCCCTCACCTCCACCTCCTCACCTCCCACCTCCATCACCCTCGCCTCCCACCTCCATCACCCTCGCCCACCTCCCACCTCTCCCACCTCTCCACATCCCTCGCCTCCCACCTCCATCACCCTCGCCCACCTCCACCTCCATCACCCTCCACCCACCTCACTCCATCACCTCACCTCCCACCTCTCCATCACCCCTGCCTCCCATTCCATCACCCCCGCCTCCCACCTCTCCATCACCCCCTCCACCTCCCACCCTCCACCTGCCTCCCACCTCCCTCCACCTCTCCATCACCCTGCCTCACCTCCCACCTCTCCATCACCCCTCACCTCCCACCTCTCCATCACCCTGCTTCACCTCCCACCTCCATCACCTCCCACCTCCCACCACCTCACCTCACCTCTCCATCACCCTCGCCTCCCACCTCTCCATCACCCTCGCCTCGCCTCCCACTCTCCATCACCCCTCGCCTCACCTCCCACCTCTCCATCACCCCTCACCTCCCCACCTCTCCATCACCCCGCCTCCCACCTCTCCATCACCTCACCTCACCTCCTCACCTCCTCACCTCCTGCCTCCCACCCCTCGCCTCCACTCCATCACCCCTCACCTCACCTCCCACCTTCCATCACCCTGCCCACCTCCCCACCTCCATCACCCGCCCACCTCCCACCTCTCCATCACCCTCACCTCACCTCTCCACCTCTCCATCCATCGCCTCCTCCCACCTCTCCATCACCCCTGCCTCCCACCTCCATCACCCTCGCCTCACCTCCCACCTCTCCATCACCTCACCTCCCACCTCTCCATCACCCTGCTTCACCTCCCACCTCCCATCACCCTTGCCTCACCTCCCACCTCTCCATCACCCTCGCCTCACCTCCCACCTCTCCATCACCCTCGCCTCGCCTCCCACCTCTCCATCACCCTCGCCTCACCTCCCACCTCTCCATCACCCTCGCCTCACCTCACTAACCAACCCACCCCTTGGCACGGTCCCCTTACTCTTATTTGGAGGCAGTTTTCCCTCTTCCTAATATACGTACATATGATTTACTCCTATATAAACTCTGGATAGTATTCACGTGTCTTGATTTACCCCCATATATTTTCAGTGTAGGTGTGTGTGTGTGTACTGTACGTGTTTGTGTAAGTGTGTGTATATGTTTGTGTCGCTCCCACCTCTCCATCACCCTCGCCTCACCTCCCACCTCTCCATCACCCTCGCCTCACCTCCCACCTCTCCATCACCCTCGCCTCACCTCCCACCTCTCCATCACCCTCGCCTCACCTCACTAACCAACCCACCCCTTGGCACGGTCCCCTTACTCTTATTTGGAGGCAGTTTTCCCTCTTCCTAATATACGTACATATGATTTACTCCTATATAAACTCTGGATAGTATTCACGTGTCTTGATTTACCCCCATATATTTTCAGTGTAGGTGTGTGTGTGTGTACTGTACGTGTTTGTGTAAGTGTGTGTATATGTTTGTGTCGGTGTGAGTACATGTTTGTGTAGGTTAGTGTACATGTTTGTGTAGCTGTGTGTATATGTTTGTGTAGGTAGGCCATCGTGTGAATACATATGTATTAGAGTACAATAGGTAGATTTGTGTTAATACTCCCATATGTGTACATTAAAGCCTCACTCGTGTTACAGAACGGAGGATGCCAGTTCGGGTACGGTGACTGTCTGGGTAACTGGATAATATCTTGTGCTGGTCACCACCTGGGAGAGAACCAGCTGGATCATCTCTCCTTCACCAGCTGCCTCATTCAACACAACCACGTCCTCAGAAACTCTAACTTTAAAAACATTATGTCGACTGTTGTTCAGGCGAGTCTCTATACTGCTGTACTGTACTGTGTTACACCAATTATTATTATTATTATCATCATCATTATTGGGCTTCAAAATAGCCCTAGACAAAACTATCAGGAACAATGGAGGTATCCCACACAGGCCACTGACCTCCTTCCCTCGACATGGCCACCTCTAGTGGGTGGCCATTAGGTAACTAAGGCGTAAGTTAGCTGTATATACAACAATCATCAGGTGTGGCATAGTGTACATTACAATGATAGTTACGGAGAAGACACACTATCATGACATTATTATGTTAAGTTAACTTGTTAACATTGCATTCAACAGTGTGCTAACAGTCACCCGGACAAGATAGATGCTCTGCATAGATGTTCAGTGGGCATGGAGGGTTACCAGCTATTCCAAGATGCTGGCAAACGTCAACAACAGCTGGCTCCTGTACTAAAACAGTTGCCTATGGTGGCTCTAGACGAGGTGAGTATGATACACAGAGAGACTATCATGTTACTGAGTAGTAAACCCAAAGCATTATAGTTATCACCTTAACACTAACATCAATCTTTATCAAACCCTGGTCGGGGGATAGAAATATTAACGAATATGAGAAAGAGAATATATTGGGCATTACAGTCTAGGACATGAAACACACACACTAGATATTCACCACAACACTAGTAGTCTACTTGTCTTGTTCACTCTCGTCAGGTACTGGTGATAAGAAGCCCAGAGGAGCTGCAGAACTTCCATCAGCTGCTGTGTGACCGTCTGCAGGGAGAAACCGAAGCCCAGGCCTTCTGTCGGGGAGTCCTCGCCCGCAGACAGAACCTTGGTCCCTCTTAAGAGAATCCACACTTTTGAGGGGTTGACACACACTAATTAGCTCCCTTACTTACCTTGACATCTGCTGGTTAGTCTTCTTACCTATTATCTTGTTCTTTGATCAGGTTTTGTTTACCTTTCACTAAAGTGTAACAATTTAACCTAACTTAAGTGTAAACCTAACTTAATCTATCCAGAGCCTAACTTACTTAACCTATTGTAATCAGTTCTTAGTCTAAATTTCATCCTGACTTAACCTAACCTAACATAACCTTACCTATCAAAGGGCTAAACGTACACCATTATGTCCAATGTAACCAAACCTAACCTAACCTCTCCTAAACTTAAACTTAACCAAAGTTTTCGTGTGTCTGTGTGTCTTTGTGTCTGTCTTCTGTTATGACTGTTTCATTGGTGTGTCTGTTACTATGACGACATTTTTTGATCATACTGTATCATGTAACCTGAAGGAAAGAGCTGTTGTCAAGTCTGTAGTTACTGTAGTCTGTATCTTTGTTTACGTGCTTTTGTTTTTGTATCCCATTTATTGATGACATTCTGTAATAAAACCATAATTATTGTTATTATTGTTGTTTCTATCATTACTGTTTTGTTTTTTCATTAGTATGTAATCATCATTATCATCATCATAATCATCGTTTTACGGCCATTTTCCACGCTTGTGTGGGTTAACCGCTCCATACTGCACGGTCTCTTGTAGTCTCTCTCGTCAGACTCCTTTAATGACCTTTCTTACAGCCTCTCTCATTCTTGACCTGCCCCTGGCTCTCCTCCCCTCCACATTTAGCATCTCTTGACCCAAACCATCTCAGCCAGCCTCTGCGCAGAAGTTCCCCAATGCTCTCAGTACCCGGCCGCCTTCTTAGCTATGAATAGGGCCGCCTGTCACTGTCAGATTACACATTCACCTCACTGTTCTCGATTCCTCATGTCCTGCGTGGCGGCGCCAGTTGTTGTTTATTTACATTATGAAGAGCAAGTCGGACATGTGCCTGCACTTTGACTGTAATCCTTTATTTTATTCCATGTTAATATGAAACAGGAAAGGTTTGATTGGTAGATTATTGGGCGCATCTCTTTTAATTACCATCCCTGCACCTGTATAATACTGTACATTATAACTGCTGCCGCGGCACAACATCAAAGACCGGATGAAAAAGCATCTCTAAAAGAAGGGACTCCCACTTTTTCTTGGAAGGAGATCCTAGAATCCTACTTTCAAAATCCTAGTTAAATTTTTGTTCAATATTCCTCTGCAGCCCGTTGTCTTAAGCCATCCGTGTCCGTCGACCACCCGGGATCGTAGAAACTGACCTCTGACCTTTGGTTATTGCTTCAGTAAAAAGAGGTCAAATTAAAACGCAGCATTCTTTTAATAATTTATTTAGAAGCAAATACAAGATTAATGAGTTGATACTTCACAGAACAAGCAATCACATCCACACACTAACGAGCTAAGCAGGACGAGCACTGACGGTTCCTTGACGTCACCAGCATCATCACACGTCATAACCAACTACACTCAATCACATTCATTTCCGCAAGCATGTGGAGGTTTGTGCCATTTATTACGGGAGGAACAAGGCACCTAAGTCGAATAACATACTGTAATAATAATAATAATAATAATAATAATAATAATATTGATTATTTAGGGATTATTTCACATATTTGGGTACATTACTCACCGGGATTCAGTTTATAACGTATACCTGGCAGTGTATAAGAGAATAAAACACTAAACTAATGTCTTACACAAAACTATATAACATCACCTCAAAATCTACAATGACACTCCACCTACTATATAACATCACCTCAAAATCTACAATGACACTCCACCTACTATATAACATCACCTCAAAATCTACAATGACACTCCACCTACTATATAACATCACCTCAAAATCTACTATGACACTCCACCTACTATATAACATCACCTCAAAATCTACAATGACACTCTACCTACTATATAACATCACCTCAAAATCTACAATGACACTCTACCTACTATATAACATCACCTCAACATCTACAATGACACTCTACCTCAGATAGACACGAGTCTCGACCTCACTCACATGTCACACTGTTTAGCCAAGCACGAATACACCAACACACTTGAAACACACTTAACCTTCGCACACCATGGAGAAAGTTCCAACCTTCTAAGCAGACTCAGTACACATAACCACTATATAAACACTTCATCCGCACCATAATAAACAATAACAGGTGATGAGAACAGTAACAATACACCTCCACACTTACCACACCCCTCTACACACACCCCTTTACACACACACACACACACACAGATAAACCTCCAACCTCCACAAAATATCACTAAAGATGCCCACCTCTTGTCATTTAATATTACAGAAGACCATCAACTTCACCTAAGCAGCCACAACAACATGGCAGTGTCCGGTAACATTCATCTACTTGGCTAAAATTTTAACATTATTAGTATACAACATACATACGTGAAAATACTGAAGACAAGAATAATTATTTTGTCATAACCTTGATATTTGGCATTAATGAACCCATAAAGTGTCGTAACCTTGATATTTGGCATTAATGAACTGTTACGAGTTGGGGATTTAGAATATAGTTAAAAGTCTACCCAGATCCCAACAGGCAACAACAATAAAAAAACAAAGACAATCGGACTATAAAAGGGTAGACAAAGGATGCGAGTTTTTGTTGTGTATAATAAAGTACCATAAATTCCTTAACAAAATATTCAGCTTTCTATAATTTACCCTTAACCATACTTAGCCTAAACATTAACAGTATACACATATTTATACAACATACAATAATTTGAAGCAAGGTGGAGGTGGGGAGGCAATATAAGATTACAAATACTTAAGTGCGGAGCTGAGATGGCTGACGAGTAAGGCTGAGTATTGTAGAAGACGGTAGGTAGTCACTGTGCTGTAGGTTTCTAGGATAGGTGATCCTGTGGTCACTTCCCAGAGTGAACTGAACTCTCATCGAACTGGAGCTGACGAAGAAGACTTGGAGGAGGTGACGCAACAACCAGGATATGGAGAAGGGAAACCCCGGAGTGGTAACCAAGAGTAGTCATACTCGGGTTTCGTCCCTAGATGGCGTTGCTCGTGGTGCTGGGTAGGTAGATCATGACAATTGGAGGAGTGGTTCGTAACAGAACCCATAAAGTGTCGTAACCTTGATATTTGGCATTAATGAACCCATAAAGTGTCGTAACCTTGATATTTGGCATTAATGAACCTAAACAGTGTCGATGAATAGAGTAAACCCTCGGTGTTTGGTGGTTGGTAGTGGTGGAAGTGGATATGTTGGTGGTGGTTACAATGGTGTTAATTGATGGGGGTAGTTGTGGTGGTGGTGGTTGACGTGTATTGGTTGTGGTTATGGTTTGCGGTGGTTGGCGTGTTGGTTGTAAAATGTTTTGTTAATTGTTCTTTTTCAGTGGTTTGGTTTAGCCATTGCAGAGGTGTCTGGGAAGTTGTGGTAGTTGTGGATGAGATGCTTGGGGTTATGATTTACGGAGTTAGAACTTGGGTTGAGCCGCTTGTGTGGTTGTTCAAGAGGATTTTGGTTGTATTGGGGCTTGAGGTTATGTTCATAGTTGTGTTATTTCAGGTTTTGGTCGTAGTTGTAGTTGTTGAGGTGGTCAGGATGGTCGTCTGGGTTGTAGTCGTGCTGGTTGACATTTTGGTTATCGTTGTTGTAAGTGACGTGGTCGTTTGGGTTGTAGTCGTGCTGGTTGACATTTTGGTTATCGTTGTTGTAAGTGATGTGGTCGTTTGGGTTGTAGTCGTGCTGGTTGACATATTGTATATCGTTGTTGTAAGTGACGTGGTCGTTTGGGTTGTAGTCGTACTGGTTGACATTTTGGTTATCGTTGTTGTAAGTGACGTGGTCGTCTGGGTTGTAGTCGTGCTGGTTGACATATTGGTTATTGTTGTTGTAAGTGACGTGGTCATTTGGGTTGTAGTCGTGCTGGTTGACATTTTGGTTAGCGTTGTTGTAAGTGACGTGGTCGTTTGGGTTGTAGTCGTGCTGGTTGTCGTAGTTGTAGGAGATGTGGTAGTCGTGTTTGTAGTCATACTGGTTGACGTTTTGGTTGTCGTAGTCGAAGTTTTGAGGATAGTTAGAGACGTTAAAGTTGATTTCGTTGTGGTAGTTGAAGTTCTCGGTAATGTTGGCATTCAGGATAATTGAGTAGTTGTTAAATTGGTTGTTATCCTCCCAGCTGTTAATGTTATGGTCTTGGTTGCTCTCGTTCAGATGGTAGTTAACGTCGCCCTGATTGTGTTTATTGAGGTGGTTAACAGGGTCTGGTTGCTCGCTGAGGTGGTTGGGACGCTCGTTAAGCTGTGGTTGGTCGTTGAGGTGGTTGGGACGCTCGTTAAGAAGATGTGGTTGGTCGTTGAGGTGGTTGGGACGCTCGTTAAGAAGATGTGGTTGGTCGTTGAGGTGGTTGGGACGCTCGTTAAGAAGATGTGGTTGGTCGTTGAGGTGGTTGGGACGCTCGTTAAGAAGATGTGGTTGGTCGTTGAGGTGGTTGGGACGCTCGTTAAGAAGATGTGGTTGGTCGTTGAGGTGGTTGGGACGCTCGTTAAGAAGATGTGGTTGGTCGTTGAGGTGGTTGGGACGCTCGTTAAGAAGATGAAGATGTGGCTGGTCGTTGAGGTGGTTGGGACGCTCGTTAAGAAGATGTGTTGCTCGCTGAGGTGGTTGGGACGCTCGTTAAGAAGATGTTGGTCGTTGAGGTGGTTGGGACGCTCGTTAAGAAGATGTGGTTGGTCGTTGAGGTGGTTGGGACGCTCGTTAAGAAGATGTGGTTGGTCGTTGAGGTGGTTGGGACGCTCGTTAAGAAGATGTGGTTGGTCGTTGAGGTGGTTGGGACGCTCGTTAAGAAGATGTGGTTGGTCGTTGAGGTGGTTGGGACGCTCGTTAAGAAGATGTGGTTGGTCGTTGAGGTGGTTGGGACGCTCGTTAAGAAGATGTGGTTGGTCGTTGAGGTGGTTGGGACGCTCGTTAAGAAGATGTGGTTGGTCGTTAAGAAGATGTGGTTGGTCGTTGAAGGTGGTTGGGACGCTCGTTAAGAAGATGTGGTTGGTCGTTGAGGTGGTTGGGACGCTCGTTAAGAAGAGAAGTTAAAGATGTGGTTGGTCGTTGAGGTGGTTGGGACGCTCGTTAAGAAGATGTGGTCGGTCGTTGAGGTGGTTGGGACGCTCGTTAAGAAGATGTGGTTGGTCGTTGAGGTGGTTGGGACGCTCGTTAAGAAGATGTGGTTGGTCGTTGAGGTGGTTGGGACGCTCGTTAAGAAGATGTGGTTGGTCGTTGAGGTGGTTGGGACGCTCGTTAAGAAGATGTGGTTGGTCGTTGAGGTGGTTGGAGTGGTCGCGGGAGATAAGGTCGGTACATACATAGTCACGTAAACATTGATTGTAACAGCAGCCTTGGCCATCCTCCTCCGGGCAATGGTTGTCTATAGTGCAATGCTGTAACAACAACAACAATAACATCAACAATAACAACAAAAACAACACCTTAATAATTAATAAACTTAACAAACGAAGGTAATATTGAACTTTTTTCCTTGTGTGGATCTGTTAATTAGTTTGTTTGTTTTTGTTTCAGGAATTGCAAGTATAGAGATTCAGTGATTGTCAATACGAAATAAGATAGGGTGTGTTAGGTTAGGTTAGATAACTTTAAGTTGTGTTAGGTTAGTGTTAGATTAAGTAAGATTTGGTTAAGTTAGCATTAGGTTAGGTTGTGTTACGTCTAGGTTTGGTTTGGTTAAGTTAGCGTTAGGTTATGTAATATTAAACTGTGTTAGTTTAGGTTAGTTTTGATTAAACTTACATAGGGTTTTTAATCATGGGGTTAATATAAGCGGAAGTTTCTTATCATCACGAGAACCAAAACATGTCTCTCTGTAAGTTAGTTTATTTACCTTGTAGGGGTGTGATGAGGGCGGGTCAGGAGGTGGTGTGCATGGGGCCTTCTGGGGGGGACACTCCCGTCTCCTAACCTGTCGCTGGTATGATGAATCAACTGCACCGGTGAGAAGAGAGGACACATATATAGTGATCCTGAGACACACTACTTGATATATGGACACACTACTTGATACATGGATACACTACTTGATACATGGACACACTACTTGATACATGGACACACTACTTGATATATGGATACACTACTTGATATATGGACACACTACTTGATATATGGATACACTACTTGATACATGGATACACTACTTGATGCATGGATACACTACTTGATACATGGACACACTACTTGATACATGGACACACTACTTGATATATGGATACACTACTTGATATATGGACACACTACTTGATATATGGATACACTACTTGATACATGGATACACTACTTGATGCATGGATACACTACTTGATACATGGACACACTACTTGATACATGGACACACTACTTGATATATGGATACACTACTTGATATATGGACACACTACTTGATATATGGATACACTACTTGATACATGGATACACTACTTGATGCATGGATACACTACTTGATACATGGATACACTACTTGATACATGGGCACACTACTTGATATATGGATACACTACTTGATACATGGACACACTACTTGATATATGGATACACTACTTGATACATGGACACACTACTTGATATATGGATACACTACTTGATACATGGACACACTACTTGATACATGGACACACTACTTGATACATGGACACACTACTTGATATATGGATACACTACTTGATACATGGACACACTACTTGATATATGGATACACTACTTGATACATGGATACACTACTTGATACATGGATACACTACTTGATACATGGACACACTACTTGATATATGGATACACTACTTGATATATGGATACACTACTTGATACATGGACACACTACTTGATACATGGACACACTACTTGATATATGGAGACACTACTTGATACATGGACACACTACTTGATACATGGACACACTACTTGATACATGGATACACTGATATAATGACACAGGAATATAATGGTATTTTAATGTAAAGCAAAAGCCTTATTCTCAAAGGTTCCTAAGTTGAATAATCCACTTTTATGTTGAATTTTTGGTGTAAGTTTCGAACGTACTGATCAACATGAAGATAAGCCCCCGAGCCTATTTCACCTGATGAGTGATTAAACATCTTAACGCTACCTGGGAGGGAGGAGGGGGGGGGGTTAGGTTAGTATTATGGTGGTTAATCTAAGGTAAATATAAGTTGGAGGGCTAATCTTCAAGTGATCCGGACGTTCTTGCCTCTAGAGTTAAATTGAGTGGAAACAACGTGTTGAACCTTTGCAGAAATTACAGTGTTTAAGTATTAACAAGGTCAACTTACAGTCATTACAACAGAGGTATACATTGCCATCGTCATCAAGACACACTTTATTGCACCTGTGGAAAGAAAAACAAGAAAGGTGATGATAAGAAGTCTGGTTTTGGAATAGTTATACTTGGAAAATGAAACAGCTACGTATCCCTTATACAGTAGAAAACGAGAATAAAAGAGAAAAGGGAATGCTTGTGAAACACTAGATACGTACTCAATGTTCAACCAACACCTGGCTTCTGACTTTGTGAAATGTAGTCAGCAAAACGTTCTGTCTTAAATATTCATCCCACAAACACAATACTGTAAACTGTTTGTTACTGTCTTTTGGTAACATGATATGTTTTGGTAACATGATATGTTTTGGTAACATGATATGTTTCTGCAGGAGCCAACGTATGTGTGTGCGTTTTTTATGTATTTGTTTGATTGTGTGTATATGTTTTAAAGTGCGATTATATGTATGTAAAGTATGTGTGTGCGATTTTTCTTAATATTCAACAGAGCTATACAAGATGGCCAGTGTGATGGCCAGTGTTAAAAAGATTAGCATGTGAAACCATTAAACATTATTTTTAGCATCATTAATTATCTTTTTAAGGCTTACGACCAGAATGTATCTTAAATAAACATTACAAATTTAGGATAGTTTTCGATAAGTCATGATAAGTTTAGTTTGTTTGTGTCAACTGAATAATAGATACCCAGTGAGTGCAGTTTCCTCCATTCTCATGTTCTTATGTTTATGTTCACGGTTCTGGAAAATAGAGTGGTCAGCTTCCAAGATAAACAGAACCACGGAAAAGGAGTAAAAATCGCTTTGCAAAGGAATGAGTAGCAGCCGGTGCCGAAATGGGAGACGACTACCAACAAGGGAGTAAATAAGGTATGGACACGTCATCATTTTCTTATATATTTTGGGCCTTGGAGTTCATTTTTTTTCTCGATGTAAGCGTTGTACTATGCAGCTGGAGAAGACCACCAGTCAGATTGTGACCGGTAGTTTGACGTTTAAGATTTAGACATGAATATCCAAATCTATTCTAACTACCACACGGATTGTTGGTTGTATCTGTTGACTTCTTAACCCCATTGAGTGGTAGGGGTTTCTCAGAAAATAAAAGGGCCTTGCGTTAGCCAGAATAAAATACTGTATATAAATGCGATGCTATTCCTTAAGAGTTAATTGAGTTAGGGTTTAACCAACTGAGTGGTTGGGGTTTCTTTATGCTGGTTTAGCTCGTCTGGTATTAGCCAGAATGAAATACGTAAGTGCGAGACTACTTAAAGGCTTAAATTTGCTACACACGCTCAAACTAAGGTGGAACTTGTCTATACAAACAAAGAATTATTCGTTTCCATCCATACTGTACAAGTATGTCTGCTCAAACAGTTCATTCATCTCTCAGGTTTCGGAATAGCATGTTCACTGCAGGGGATTAGTGCTACTTATATGTGCGCTGGCATAGCCATTGGTAAAAAAATAAAAGAAAGTGGGCTGAACAATGACTTTTGAAGTGAGACCAATTTTCTCTTGTAAATTTATTAGCAGAATTACAACAGGAGGCTAATGGTCAGTATAACTACTGTACAGCATTTTTTGGCCCGAATGGACAGTTTTTCATTTGGTGGTGATGTACTGTAGCTAAAACAACTATCTGTGCATACTTTGTGGGAAACAATATGAGACCATGGACGATAAATTTTGGTATATGAGGGCTGTCACTAGTCCCACGTAAAATTTCGGAGCATATCGACACCCACCTGCACAGATAGTTGTTTTAGCTACTGTACGAAGCCCAGTAAATGACATGTGTTGAGTTCTTGCATTCTCTCGGCCACTTAACGGTATTTGTGTTAATTTTCCATGGTTTTATTTTCGTCACTTTCCTCAAAACAATGACTTCTCATTAATGTTGAAGGTTGGTTTAAAGCTCATCACAAGTGAAAACAGCAGGAAAAAACCCTTTTTATATCCCAAAAAAGTATACAGTAATAAGGAATAGTATCCGCGCCATCAACCAACCTCCCCTACACGTTCAGTTTTGTTTGTTCCGACGAGTCAGGAAAAGTAAGCGTGTGTAGCAGGCGAGGAGGCGATGAATAATGGTTTAATTTTCTTTGGCACAGTCCGGTAACTAATGTATGTTTTTATTTAATTGTTATTTTTTATTTAATTTTATTTTTTTTTAATGCGAATACAGCGCTCGCCTCCTGTACTTAGGGTTGTTGCTTCCAGCCCGGGGCATCCACAGTTCACCCAGGTGTGAATAGTTAACTGAATTAACAGTTGAGGAAAGGATGTCATATTAAGGGAAAATAAACATGCGGGAAAATTATAATATCGACGTCACTAACCTTGGCCTGGGTTTGGCACTGGTCACGGGTTGCATAGTTGGTAGTGGAGCTGTTGGCTTCACCAGGGGAATGTAAGGTTTTCTGAATTGTCTGGGGGGTTTTGTACGCAGTGTTGGAATGTGAGGTGGTCTAGTCCAAGGTGGATATCGAGTGACAGGAGGCCTTGTATATGGTCGTCGTGGTGTCGTTCTTGGAGGTGGAGGTCGAGTGACAGGAGGCCTTGTGTATGGTCGTCGTGGTGTCGTTCTTGGAGGTGGAGGTCGAGTGACAGGAGGCCTTGTGTATGGTCGTCGTGGTGTTGTTCTTGGAGGTGGAGGTCGAGTGACAGGAGGCCTTGTGTATGGTCGTCGTGGTGTCGTTCTTGGAGGTGTAGGTCGAGTGACAGGAGGCCTTGTGTATGGTCGTCGTGGTGTCGTTCTTGGAGGTGGAGGTCGAGTGACAGGAGGCCTTGTGTATGGTCGTCGTCGTGGTGTCGTTCTTGGAGGTGGAGGTCGAGTGACAGGAGGCCTTGTATATGGTCGTCGTGGTGTTGTTCTTGGAGGTGGAGGTCGAGTGACAGGAGGCCTTGTGTATGTCGTCGTGGTGTCGTTCTTGGAGGTGGAGGTCGAGTGACAGGAGGCCTTGTATGGTCGTCGTGGTGTCGTTCTTGGAGGTGGAGGTCGAGTGGACAGGAGGCCTTGCATGTCGTCGTGGTGTCGTTCTTGGAGGTGGAGGTCGAGACATGCCATGGTCTGGAGGCCACGTTCTGATAGGAGTTGATAGCCTGTAATTGGGGGTATGGTGGGCCAGTTGTTTGATAGCAGACAGCCTGCAATTGGGGGTATGGTGGGCCACGCTGTTTTGATAGTAGCAGGATAGCCTGTAATTGGGGGTATGGTGGGCCACGTTGTTTTGATAGTAGCAGGATAGCCTGTAATTGGGGGTATGGTGGGCCACGTTGTTTTGATAGTAGCAGGATAGCCTGTAATTGGGGGTATGGGGGGCCACGTTGTTCTGATAGCAGGAGGATAGCCTGTAATTGGGGGTATGGGGGGCCACGTTTGGGAATAAGCAATAGGAGGTGGTGTCGGAATTTGATAAGGGACTGCTGCCCCGTATCCGCAGAGATTGTAACAGTCGGAGGGATAAATTTCATTACACCATCTGTTATGGCAATTGTTCGTGTGGCCAGGCGTATAACACATAGGGTTATAGCAGTAGTTGGCCATGTTATCATAGCACAAGTGTTGTTGGCCATAGTCATATCCAGGATAAAATATAGGAGACTGCCGACGACATCTTTTAGCCCTGATAACTTGTGCAGATGTTAGGTTGGCGATTAGAGGGTTGAAGGCCGGAGCAGCTGTAGTAGTGATTATTAACGTTGCAAAGGTGGTGAGCCATATTACCTGTACAAGGTGAAAGGCAAAGGTGAATTAGTTACCTGTTGGATCAGTTATGAGCGAATACGTAGGAATATTGTTAGTTTCCATAATTTTCTGAAATGAATTGTCTTAACCTAATATATTGTAGTTTGTCACTTTAATATTATATCTAATAGCCTAATATATTGTAGTTTGTCGCTGTAAAGTTTTATAACTAATAACCTAATATATTATAATTTGTCACTGTAAAGTATTATAACTAATAGCTTAATATATTGTAGTTTGTCACTGCAAAGTATTATAACTAATAGCCTAATATATTATAATTTGTCACTGTAAAGTATTATAACTAATAGCCTAATATATTGTAGTTTGTCACTGTAAAGTTTTATAACTAATAACCTAATATATTATAATTTGTCACTGTAAAGTATTATAACTAATAGCTTAATATATTGTAGTTTGTCACTGCAAAGTATTATAACTAATAGCCTAATATATTATAATTTGTCACTGTAAAGTATTATAACTAATAGCCTAATATATTGTAGTTTGTCACTGCAAAGTATTATAACTAATAGCCTAATATATTATAATTTGTCACTGGAAAGTATTATAACTAATAACCTAATATATTGTAGTTTGTCACTGTAAAGTATTATAACTAATAACCTAATATATTATAGTTTGTCACTGTAAAGTATTATAACTAATAACCTAATATATTGTAGTTTGTCACTGTAAAGTATTATAACTAATAACCTAATATATTGTAGTTTGTCACTGTAAAGTATTATAACTAATAACCTAATATATTATAGTTTGTCACTGTAAAGTATTATAACTAATAACCTAATATATTATAATTTGTCACTGTAAAGTATTATAACTAATAACCTAATATATTATAATTTGTCACTGTAAAGTATTATAACTAATAACCTAATATATTGTAGTTTGTCACTGTAAAGTATTATAACTAATAACCTAATATATTATAGTTTGTCACTGTAAAGTATTATAACTAATAACCTAATATATTGTAGTTTGTCACTGTAAAGTATTATAACTAATAACCTAATATATTATAATTTGTCACTGTAAAGTATTATAACTAATAGCCTAATATATTGTAGTTTGTCACTGTAAAGTATTATAACTAATAACCTAATATATTGTAGTTTGTCACTGTAAAGTATTATAACTAATAACCTAATATATTATAATTTGTCACTGTAAAGTATTATAACTAATAGCCTAATATATTGTAGTTTGTCACTGCAAAGTATTATAACTAATAGCCTAATATATTGTAGTTTGTCACTGTAAAGTATTTTAACTAATAACCTAATATATTGTAGTTTGTCACTGTAAAGTATTATAACTAATAACCTAATATATTGTAGTTTGTCACTGTAAAGTATTATAACTAATAACCTAATATATTATAATTTGTCACTGTAAAGTATTATTAACAACATATATTGGCAGTTTTGTCACTGTAAAGTATTATAACTAATAGCCTAATATATTGTAGTTTGTCACTGTAAAGTATTATAACTAATAACCTAATATATTATAATTTGTCACTGTAAAGTATTATAACTAATAACCTAATATATTGTAGTTTGTCACTGTAAAGTATTATAACTAATAACCTAATATATTATAATTTGTCACTGTAAAGTATTATAACTAATAGCCTAATATATTGTAGTTTGTCACTGTAAAGTATTATAACTAATAGCTTAATACATTGTAGTTTGTCACTGTAAAGTATTATAACTAATAGCCTAATACATTGTAGTTTGTCACTGTAAAGTATTATAACTAATAGCTTAATATATTGTAGTTTGTCACTGTAAAGTATTATAACTAATAGCTTAATACATTGTAGTTTGTCACTGTAAAGTATTATAACTAATAGCTTAATATATTGTAGTTTGTCACTGTAAAGTATTATAACTAATAGCCTAATACATTGTAGTTTGTCACTGTAAAGTATTATAACTAATAACCTAATATATTATAGTTTGTCACTGTAAAGTATTATAACTAATAGCCTAATACATTGTAGTTTGTCACTGTAAAGTATTATAACTAATAGCCTAATACATTGTAGTTTGTCACTGTAAAGTATTATAACTAATAGCCTAATACATTGTAGTTTGTCACTGTAAAGTATTATAACTAATAACCTAATACATTGTAGTTTGTCACTGTAAAGTATTATAACTAATAGCCTAATACATTGTAGTTTGTCACTGTAAAGTATTATAACTAATAACCTAATACATTGTAGTTTGTCACTGTAAAGTATTATAACTAATAGCTGAAAATGGTGTTGGATCATTAACACAGTTTATGTGGTGTTGGATCATTAACTCAGTTTATGTGGTGTTGGATCATTAACTCAGTTTATGTGGTGTTGGATCATTAACTCAGTTTATGTGGTGTTATCATTAACTAAGTTTATGTGGTGTTGGATCATTAACTCAGTTTGTGGTGTTGGATCATTAACACAGTTCATGTGGTGCTGGATCATTAACACAGTTTATGTGGTGTTGGATCATTAACTCAGTTTATGTGGTGTTGGACATTAACTCAGTTTATGTGGTGTTGGATCATTAACTCAGTTTATGTGGTGTTGGATCATTAACTCAGTTCATGTGGTGTTGATCATTAACTCAGTTTATGTGGTGTTGGATCATTAACTCAGTTTATGTGGTGTTGATCATTAACTCAGTTTATGTGGTGTTGGATCATTAACTCAGTTTATGTGGTGTTGGATCATTAACTCAGTTTATGTGGTGTTGGATCATTAACTCAGTTTATGTGGTGTTGGATCATTAACTCAGTTTATGTGGTGTTGGATCATTAACTCAGTTTATGTGGTGTTGGATCATTAACTAAGTTTATGTGGTGTTGGATCATTAACTCAGTTTATGTGGTGTTGGATCATTAACACAGTTCATGTGGTGCTGGATCATTAACACAGTTTATGTGGTGTTGGATCATTAACTCAGTTTATGTGGTGTTGGATCATTAACTCAATTTATGTGGTGTGTTGATCATTAACACAGTTTATGTGGTGTTGGAGCATTAACACAGTTCATGTGGTGCTGGATCATTAACACAGTTTATGTGGTGTTGGATCATTAACTCAGTTTATGTGGTGTTGGATCATTAACACAGTTTATGTGGTGTTGGATCATTAACACAGTTCATGTGGTGCTGGATCATTAACACAGTTTATGTGGTGTTGGATCATTAACACAGTTTATGTGGTTTTGGATCATTAACACAGTTCATGTGGTGCTGGATCATTAACACAGTTTATGTGGTATTGGATCATTAACACAGTTTATGTGGTGTTGGATCATTAACACAGTTTATGTGGTTTTGGATCATTAACACAGTTCATGTGGTGCTGGATCATTAACACAGTTTATGTGGTGTTGGATCATTAACACAGTTTATGTGGTGCTGGATCATTAACACAGTTTATATGGTGTTGGATCATTAACAGCGTCTTAAGAGTTGGGTGAAGGCACTAGATGTCTTTGCATATTTTTCTCTTAACTGAAGATATATTAACTTATTTATTTGGTTCATGAAGTTATGAGAGAACAGCTGTGATTGGTTGATTGATCCTTTATCATTAAGTTAGATCAACTGTGATTGGCAAGATGATGGTGATGGTATAAACAAAACGATGGTGATGGTTCTTACCGTTTTAGCCATGGTGGAGGTTGGTTAGGATCAGCCAGACAGCTAAGCACGTTGCACAGTAAGTCAGGCTGCAGCCTTGAATCTGCCTCCTGGTTCACTGGTACTTGACCGCTGTAGCTGCTCCTGCCCCATCGCGCATGCGTCAATATGTGACATTGAAATTATACGTTTTTTTTCCATGGGTCTTTTGTTGTGTTGTATGCTCGTGGGTTTACCTTCTTAAAGTTTCGTACACTCGCAACTGTCGATGAAGATGTATTTACTGTAACCTATGGACTTAAACTAAAAATACAGAAATAATGTACCTATAAATCATTGAAATATAACATCAGTTAGAAAACACACAAATACGGTAGAGAATCCTTTCTCTGATGTAAACTAGTTAGGTACGCTACATTCTCACGACCTCAGATAACAGGAACATTCATCATATGGCTCTTAATAACGTCAATGTTAAGTAACTCGTTATTGTAATGTCATTATAATACTGTTTCAGTCAGTTTTAACATTTATACGTTATTTTAATACTGTTTACTTTATATACCAGATCCTTCACTGTATTGTGTCAGGCTGGGGGGGATCTTGTGTGTCTCACCTGAGTACAACTTACTCACCTGAACACAGCTTACTCTCCTGACCATGCTTTTGACTCACCTGAACACAGCTTACTCTTCTGACCATGCTTGTTAACTCACCTGAACACAGTTTTGTCCAGTGGGTTATTGCGTGTGGATAAGTTTTGTCCAGTGGCTCATTGTGTAGTTGAGTTTTGTCTAGTGGGTTCTCGTGTAGGTGTTTTGTCCAGTGGTTCATTGTGTGGATGAGTTTTGTCCAGTGGTTCATTATGTAGGTGAGTTTTGTCCAGTGGATTATTGCGTGTGCATGAGTTTTGTCCAGTGGATCATTGTGTGGATGAGTTTTGTCCAGTGTTTTATTATGTAGGTGAGTTTTGTCCAGTGGTTCATTGTATCTGGGTGAGTTTTGTCCAGTTGTTCAATGTGTAGGATGAGTTTTGTCCAGTTCAATGTGTAGGATGAGTTTTGTCCAGTTGTTCAATGTGTAGGATGAGTTTTGTCCGGGGAGTCATTTTCAGTTCATAGGTTACTTACAGTATGTGTTCAACAGCTCTCACTTTGGCGGTGTGTGTGTGTGTGGATGGTTTAGGCGGATCCATGTGTGTGGGTGTCATTGTATATTAGTTTCCGGGAGTATGTTTGAGTTCGTTTACGTTTGTGTGGTTTATGGTGGCCGCCGTGATACACACACACAGGGTCTCGCCAACCACCCAAGTTGGCTGAGTGGCTTGGATTGAGCGTTCGGTGTCATCTGTTGATATTAAACTGTACCGTATATATGTATATGTATGTATGTATGTATGTGCCTCTTAGATACGTTTTCATCTACAGTCAATTTGAGAAAATTCAAACTTGCGATTTTTTTTTTTAGAGAAATTTTGATTGAAAGATTAGTTCACATTATATAAGTCTGCTATATTAGCTTCAGGAATGTTTTTGTTATTATTCTGATTTAAAAAAAAATTATAGATACCATAAAAAAAACTAAGGTTTATCTCTTTACACCAATGAAGACTTTCCACAATACACTGATATCAGGAAATGAGTAACTTTTTAACAAACATCAACATTGTGTTAATGGTGTGTTATCTACCTGCTTATAAATATATGGTGGTTCTTATGTGGGCTTCACTACCACACACACTGTATAGTCGTGTGTCAACTCTCTCTCTTACACAGCAATAGGAGGACGGTAATCACTACAGTATTACGGTAAATCATGAGCCAAACCTAAACAGTGGTGACTCGGCTGCTACTCTCCACATAAATATTATTAATATTCATCTCCCCATTGATCTGCCCTATACACCACCTGTGTACGTTACTTATGATTGCCTTATTCATTCGTTCACTCCTCTAGATTTTATGACTTAATGTAGTTATATTACTTAACGTTTACAGGAGTTGATTTCTTCCATGTTAATTATTTTATTCGTAACTTTTATTTCCGCGGTGATGTTATTTTTTTAACATTAATTATTGTTGACCTCGAACTTCCTGAAATGTAGAAATTAACTAAATAAACTAAACTAAAGGGAAGAGCCCAGTGACACCAGGCTTCAAACTTTGAGGAAACGTTTCTCTCCGGTGGTGACGGCCCTTGAAAAATTAGTTTCAACTGTACATTGGTTTGTTTAGGAGGAAGAAGAGGAGGAGGAGGGAGGCGGTGGGGAGGTACTCTCCCAGATGTGGGATAACCAGTAGACCAATAAACAGTTGTGGATGACCAACACATCAGTAAATATTATCTACAGTAACTTTTATACTTAGGTCGCCCACTGCCCTAGCTCATGGTTTATGGTGAGCTTACTCGGGTGATCTTGGTTCATTGATGATCTCTGGGATGTTTTGGTGAGCTTCAATTCTGAGGAGCTTTTCTACAGTACTGGGAGAGTGACGTCAATCGTCAGTGCTACCAAGAGGTTTGGACACAGTTGTTTCAGCTGTTTATCATGAATGAACAAGAGTACAGTACTTTATTTTCAATGGTGTCATGTTCTGTGATGGCATATTAGACAAATTTTAAATTTCTTTTGTTAGTCATTTTTCCATCAATATCTGGTTCACCACCAGAGCTCTGAGTGTTTATGGTCTTCACAGAGTTTTTGGGGACTCAGTTGACATTTCCTGTACAGTAATTTGTTGAAGTTTAACTTTCACCAGACCCAGTGTTGTGAATCTGTCCCCAAGAGATACAATGATAGATTCTAAGACCAATTTTTTTTTCTATATTCTTCAGTGTATCACTGAAGGGCTTCTCGGTGCTTGACAGACCAACTCGCATTTTCTAAGCCCTTTCTCTCTCAAAGAGGCTCAAATCCATTTTTTAGAACGTTAGTGCGTTTTAGAGTTAACTTCTACATTCAGCTACACTGAGTCGGACTGTATAAGCTTACTCCTATGATGGTGCTGGCCAGGATGTCATACCAAGCCACTGAGCTTATAAGGGAGCTGTGGGAGCCAAAGCTTGAAGTTCTATCAGTTAGGAGAAAAATTATGAATATATGAGAATTTGGTTGTTGATCTTGGTGTAGTCCATGACCCAGGCTGACACAACCAGGGCAGTGAAAGATACAAGTTTCCTTTATCGATGTTTATTGTCCTTATATAGTTAAGATTTACAGCTTGTGGTGGTGTTAACGGGAGTATTAGGCTGATAATGGAGGTTGTTAGGAGGTTTATTGAATGTAATGGTGAACTCTTTAGTGGATCATAATGTTAATACAGTACAGCAGCAATATAATAGTAATGTTAATAATAATGATACTGTATACTAATAATACTTAATACGAACAATAATCATCATACACAGGTAGCGACACACCTGTCAGCACATCTGATTTATATTTATTTATTAATTGCTATCTATCCTAGCCTGTGTCCTAGTCTCCCTCGCCACATCGGCCTGTGTATGTGTTTCACCTTCTGTTTATCTGTTAGTTTTCACCTGATGGATTCAACTCTTGTTTTCTTTCCACACTTGTACAGTCTAACAATGTTGAATCAGTGAGACGACTCCACGGGATCTCAACATAATATTTTATTAAACTCATGTTAAAATCATTCTTTGTGTTTTTATTGGTAATTATAACAGTAATCAACTGAAATAATTAAAAGTTAGGTCTTATAAAGCAATGCAAAATAAGGAAGATGGTAGTGTTAATAATAGTGATAATAAGTAATAATAAAATCAATAATATTGAAAATAATAATAATAGCAACACGTTACAGGTATATGATGTTTACAGATTGGTCTGGACTTGGTGTAGCAGACCTTGGACTTGGTAAGGGGTTTCTGGACTTGTTGTAGTAGACCCTGGACTTGGTAAGGGGTTTTTAGACTACTTGTAGTAGACCTTGAACTTGGTGAGGAGTGTCTGGACTTGGTTACAGTCGGACACAGATGAACTTCTCAGTACAGGGATCTAAACAACACCTCTCTTGGGCTCCACACTGACTGTCAATGAAGCAACGTGGCTGAACCAGAAGAAAAATAATATTATTATTATTATTATTACTGTAGTAGTAGTAGCAGCAGTAGTAATATAAATGGCATTATTATTAACTTGATTTAGTTATCTTGGATCATTTACATTTAATGAACTGGAATTTTTTTTTATGAAATTGGAAAACAAATGATGCTGTGATAGCTTTAGGCACTGAATTTAAACCTAGCCCAGCCCCCATGAATCACTAATACAAATATACAGTATATGTAAGCATGTACAGGGAGTATTCAGAGGTAGAGAAGGAGGGAGTGAGTTACCTGGGGAGAGTAATTCGAGGCGCTACACGTGATGGGTCGGTCTGGACACTCGCCCACCTCTGATGATGAGGACAATAGCATTACTATATACATCTACTGTATAATGACATGTGTGCTAATGATAATTTTATTACTAATATTAATAACGGTAGTGAACATTAGTAAGAGTTATAATTAATAATGGTATGTAATCTTCGCTCGTAGGTTATAAAGTTAAATATATACTATGTATGTACTGTATATTTACATCTGGTTGTATGAAAGTATATGTGTATGTGTACCTAATGTATGTGTAAGTATGTACCGTATGCGTATGTACGTCCTGTATGTGTATGTACATACTGTATGCGTAAATATGTACTGTATGTGTAAATAAGTGCAGTATGTGTATGTTTGTACAGTATGTGTATGTTTGTACTGTGTGTATGTAGATATAATAACTCACCTCTATCACAACACCGACGTTTACCAGTCTCATCCAGACAGAGTTTCTTGCACCTGAGGGAGATAGAACACTGCCTGTAGTCTAGTACTACCGAGACAAACTACTGGGGCTACACACAAGGGCTATCAGAACAAAGCTGCATCAAAGAGCTAGAAGGATATATTCAGGACTAGTAGGATTACATCAAAATGCTATTTGGACTAGTAGGGCTACATTCAGGGACTAATATAACCAGGAGGGCTACATCCAAGGGCTATTGGTAATAGTAAGTCTAAATGGTGGGGCCTTAGGGCTTCTCTGTGTACAGTGAAGGGTTTAAGTCATCATACTCAGTGGGCAAGTCATCATTCTCGGGGCAAGTCATCATACTCAAGGGGCAAGTCATCATACTCAGGGACACGTCATCGTAGTCATCATACTCAAGGGGCAAGTCGCCATACTCACGGACAAGTCATCATAATCAAGGAGAAAATCATTATACTGGGACAAGTCTTCATACTCAAGGGGTAAGTCAAGTAATTAATGGGTCAAATAGTTGTACTCAAAAAGTTAAGTCTTCGATTTTAAATGTGAAATTTACTTCCTTACAAAAACTCTCTCTCAGTAGACTTGGGCTTCTTACCTTTTGTTTGGATCACTGGTGGTGGCGGTGGGCCTTGTGGGCGTGGTGGTGACGATGCTGGGTGGTTTGTAGGTTGGCCATACAGGTCCAACAGGGGTCGTTAGCTGTGATTTATTGGTTGGCCATAAAGGAGCAAGGGTCGTTGGCTGTGATCTACTGGTTGGCCACTCAGGGCTGTATGTAGTGGGCCACCTTGGGGTAGGAGGAGTGCTTGGAGCAATCTGGGAAGCATCAGTTGGCCAGGGGTGGGTTGGTGGATGTGTGACAGTCCGCGATGGTCCAGTGGGCCATACTGGGACCGGTGGAGTTGTGACGGTGTGCGATGGTCCTGTGGGCCAGAGAGGTCTTTTGGTCCTCTTCTCAGTGGGCCACACAGGTCTGGTAGTAGTGGTAGTAGTTGTAGTGGTAGTCAGTGGGGACGTGCTGGTTCTCTTCTCAGTGGGCCAGACTTGGACAGAAGGTGATTTGGTAGCCCTGCCAGTAGGCCACTCGGCTATAGACGGGGATCTGGTGATAGCCGCTCTGCCTGTGGGCCATACTGGTGGGCCCTGAGGCGGCGTATTGGTCTGCGGGGGTGGAGAGGGCGGCTGGCTAGGGTAGGTTGGTTGCCAAGGATAATATGGTTGCCAAGGATAGTAATCGTATGTTTGCCAGTCGTAGTATGGCTCCCAAGGATAAGAAGGTTGTGAAGGATAGAATGGTTGTGAGGGGTAGGATGCTTGTGAGGGGTAGGATGGTTGTGAGGGGTAGGTTGCTTGTGAGGGGTAGGATGGTTGTGAGGGGTAGGATGGTTGTGAGGGGTAGGTTGTTTGTGAGGGGTAGGATGGTTGTGAGGGGTAGTATGGTTGTGAGGGGTAGGATGGTTGTAAGGGGTAGGTTGTTTGTGAGGGGTAGGATGGATGTGAGGGGTAGGATGGATGTGAGGGGTAGGATGGATGTGAGGGGTAGGATGGATGTGAGGGGTAGGAGGGTTGTGAGGGGTAGGAGGGTTGTGGTGGGTATGGTGGTTGGGCTGGATAGGACGGTTGTGAGAGGTAGGGTGGTAGCCAGGGGTAGTCATCGTGGCCAGTGAAGGAATGTGGTAGTAGTTCAGCTATACCATACATGACCACACTAGCCACTGTAACCGCAACTACCAACATCTGCAACAAATAACTCTTTATATTACAAGGAAAAATTGTCATAAAAGTTTTTGCTTATGTACAAAAAAAATATTTTTTCCGAATTTTAAGAGATTTTGTATGTAATTTTTTTAACAGCTGTCCATGTTGGGAAGATGATCGTGACGTCATTTGTTAATGTCACGTGGTGTATAAAGTTCGGGAGGACAAAACTAGTGGTAACTCACAGTAGCCTCAGTAATGGCTCCTGTGTTGCCAAACATAATTATATTTAAATTAAAACTATTCTTTGGGAGGTTTTTTTTCTCTTAAGTTTGCATTTATTTAAAATGTAGTCAACAGTTGTCAAAGGAAACTATAAAACGTGTATCTAAAAGACGACTCTTGTCAACACTCCATCACAACTATACTGTACGGTCAACTTTACGAAAGCCAAAACAAGTGATACTGTACAGTGTATGTGTGGCGTTATCAGTAGACTCACAGGTTATGAAAAAAAAATTCTCAGCTGAAGTAATAGAGTGAACAAATGCTTACAAACCAAAATAACAACTAAAGTCTGCAGATAATTTTTATTCATCAAAATCGCAGCGCGAGGATAATGAACGGGGTTCGTATAATGAACGTATGGCGGCCCACTGGAGATACAACACCGTGTACTGTAAGGAGGCAACGCACAGCACACCACTACCTTCACTAACCCAAAATATAAAGTTAAATACCCATTTATGGTATAATTTTATAAAACAATTAACGGTACACTTACTGTGGTAATCATGTTGTGGATACAGCAGGTACAGTTGTGGTACCAGTGGGCTAACCACACGGCCACTTCTTCGAGCAAATCGTCCAAAAGCTCTAAGAATACACCAGTTATTTTATAGTCCCTTGGTTACTAAGACCTGGGTAGGTAAAATACACTCGGTGACACAACAACACAGCTGGTTCAAAGTAAGGTCAGTGCTAGGTGACGCTCTAGATCAGTCTGAGTCAGGTTGCAGGGTTCTCCAGCCCACACAGGCGCACTACGACCCGCTAGTTGGGTCCGTAACTCTCCTCACGCATGCGCAGTGCAGTCACATATAATGAATCTCGTCTGTATCGTTGGCTGGTGGACTTTCTTCTGAATTTCTCTCTATGGTACACACACACACACACACACACACATTAAAGGTGTTTGGTTTTGGTGTTTACAAGACATCTCAAGTGGCCTTCGTGTTTATGTTTTGAGGTAGCTTTATGACACGCCATAGTGTATGAGTGTGTGTAGTGTGTATATGGAAGTTGTGTATTTAGTGATGTTTACGTCGGTATACTGTATGTTTGTGTGTAGTGTTGTGTATGGCAGTGTATAGTGATGTGGTGTAATAGGTCTGCACCCTGGCCTTGCAAGCGAGCAGACCCGAGTTCGATCCTCGGGCAGGGTGAAACTATGAGCAAGTTTCTTTACGCCATTTGCCTCTACCCAGCAGTAATTGGGAACCTGGGTGTTAATCGATTTGCGGATCGTATTCCGGGGTAATGGTTAGCCAGTGCAGTTGGTGAGCTGTCCAGTCTTCTCTGACTATTCCGTGACACTGGTCATGCAGCTCGTTAACTTAGGGTGTGGTTGTTGTGTTGGCGACAGCTTCTATACCTTAACAAATTTACGCCTAGGAGGCCCTAGGGCCGGCCATCCTCGATTTCGAGGGGCTTCCATTATAGTGATGTGTAAGTCGGGATATGAATGTATAGTAACGTGTATGTCAGTGTTTGAATGTGTGGTCACTATAGTGATGTGTATGCCTGTATATGTGTGTGTGTATAGTAATGAATCACTATAGTCTATATGGTATGTATGTCGGTGTATCAGTGTGTATAATGTGTATAGTGATGTGTATGTCAGTGTATGGAGGCTAATGAGTATACAGTCTGTCGGTGTATGAGTGTACGTCGTGTTTATGGCGTTTTATGAATATGTTTGGTAGCGTGTGAATGTATGGTGAGGTAAGCAATTATGTATGGCTGTGTATGAGTGTGTATTGTGAGGTGGACATTTTGTGTATGTATGTGTATAAGTGTGTCTGGTGAGGTGGGCATATTGTGTATGAGCCCTATCCAGTGTGCGATAACTCCCTGGTCCTCTTGGCTATTGATATGTTTTTGAGTCTGGGGTACCTATGGTTGGTGGCATCTCTCGGGAATCAGGGAGGGGATAGTTGCTACTGCCTGTCCTTCGTTCCAGAGAATGGAATTTTTTAGTCTATCAAGGAGGCTGGTTTCTTCTTGGAAATATAGGGTAGTTTTTGTAATCTTTTATGAATACAGTAGTTTTAAATATAATTCTATGATATGTTCTTTTTAAATATAATTTTTTTAATGAAATAGGGCGTCACAGGAGTCAGAATTTTACAACGCCAGATGAACTTTACACAAATCTTGACGGTTGTTAGTGTTATTTAAACCATGGACTATGTTGTATAAAGAAAAGAAAATTGGCTCTCCACTCTGTTTCTACCATGTTTCAGAATTCATGTACAGTACTGTATTGGACTTTTAAAACTATTTAAGCCGTAGCTATATTAGAATTTCACAAAATAATTTTCCTAGAGATAAATGAAAGTACTTTACAGTAAATGTTAGTTTTATGTTATCATATTGTAGAGGAGAAGTAAAGGTTTTGACTGTTGGTCAATAATTTTTATAAAAGTTTACAATCAAATAAGATGTTACAGTGAAACGTCGGTGTTCCTATCACCTCTGTGCAGTATGTCGAGTACAAATTGACCAAAGTTTAAGGTCAGTTGTGTAAAATATTTGTATCTGACGTGACCCCAGCAATTATGTCACTGACCTAACTTGGAGCCTTGAGTGAATGTTGGTACATTTAGACGAAGTATAGAGAAGGAAATGAGTTTATCAAGAGGTCAAGGTCATTGTTGAAGGTCAATATTTGTGGCATGGTAAAAATGTAATGTGTGTGATAATAATAATAGTTATTCAGTTAAATTCTCATACAGGTTTACAGTTGGATAAATAAGTTTATAAATTATGCAGTTCGGGGTGTTTTATGGTGTATGGCAGTGTCTTTGCGGTGTACGGGAGGGAGGAGTGTGATGTGTACAGTATATCAAGAACCTTTCAAGCCGTATTTTACTAAAAGCGTTGGTTTTTCACTAATATTTCTAAGTAAGGAAATAGCATTAGAGATCAGCATCTAAAACAGCAGGAAAATATCTGTTCACTCGCAGTGTCCTACAAATCATGGGAAACAGCAGGTAAATGATGGTAAATGAGTGAAGGTGTCAGTATATATAATGAGTGATGAAATTGGCAGTGAAGTATTGGATAGATGGCTAGGTGGAATAGTCAAATTGAGAGAATGGGAAGTGGAGGCGGATAAAGTGTGGTAGGAGGGAGGAGATGAAAGTGTGGAGTGGAGGATGCACTATAAGTGAGAGGGAAGGAGCAAACAGTGGTGTGTGTGTGTGTGTGTGAAGGAGTGGATAGCATGGCAGTGATTTTCGGGAGAAGACGTGTTGCTGGTGAGTGATGTTTACTTTGAGATGACAGAAGTAAACCATGACTTATTGTGGGTGATGAAGTATTATACCAAAACACATCTACCTGTAGTCCACCAGGTAGTGTGAATATTTTATGAAAGTGTATGAAGAAAGAGTGATTTTAATTTTCGCCTCTCTGTAATATATACAAAAAAACAATAATATTTTTGGCTAATAAACTATTCATTTTACAGGTAGAAACAAAATATAGCTCTCCGGGGAGGATGAGAACCAGAACTTACAGTAGTGTCCAGATGACAAAGCACCAACATAGACGAGAGAAACGATCAAGAGTACAGAAAAAGATGAATATACCATAAATAAGTCAGTCTACCTGACATGGAAGATGTATCGTGTAGAAATAAGAGTTGGTTAGTTATGTCCACATAAATACTAAAACAGATTACAACATTGTATTGAAAGTATCTACTGACTACTTTAGGAATACTGTAGAAGTGAGGAAAAGACAAGCAATATTGTGTAGGACTGAAGGAAGGACTTGCAGGAGTGAGGGAAGGACTTATTGAACTATTAATGAATGAGAAAGACTTAATGGCCTAACTGAGACTTGCTAACCTGTTGATGAACGAGGGAAGGACTTCTAGTGTTGTGTAGGAGTGCAGGAAGGACATGCAGTGCTGTGTGTAGGAGTGAGGGAAGGACATGCAGTGTTATGTAGGAGTGTAGAAAGGACTCGCTGCCATTTGTGGGGGTGAGGGAAGGATGTGGTATTGTGTAGGAAGGAGGGAAAGACATACATTGTTGTGTAGGAGCGAGGGTAAGAATAATGCCTGGAGTTTTGATCGCCCTCTTTCATCAAGGGGGGGGAGTCGTGTTTACAACCAGACTTTTAAAAGATTTGAGTCACGAAGTACACCACACTACAGTGTTTGACAGGGAGGTGTCCTTCGTGATTCAAATTTGTTAAAAGTCTGGTTGTAGACACGACAACCCCCATCAACGGAAGAGGGCGATTAGAACGCTGGGTGGAAGTGTGTTGTGTACGATTGAAGGAAGGATGTGGTGTTTATGTAGGATTAGGGAGCGACATGTAGTGTTGTGTAGGAGTGAGGGAAGGACAGACAATGTTGTGTAGGAGAAAGGGAAGGACTCACTGTAACTTGTAGGAGTGAAGGAAGGACTCCCTGTGATTTACAGGAGTGTGAGAAGGACTCGTTGTGATTTATAAGAGTGTGAGAAGGACTCTGTGATTTGTAGGAGTGAGAGAGACTAAGTGTACTGTGTAGGAGTGAGGGAATAACATGTAGTGTTTTGTAAGAGTCAGTGCATTCTTTCTGCATTCCTACAGAACACCCTAAGATATGTTGGAATGACAGAAGGACTTACTGTGATATGCAGAAGTGTGGGATTGACTGAACTATTAAGGAATTGCTGACCTACTAGGAGTGAGGAATCGACTTACAGTAATGTGTAAGATAGACAGAAGGACATGCTGACCTACTCAGCAGTAAGGAAAGGACTTACAGACCTATTGAGGTGTGAAGGTAGGGATTATTGTGATGTGAAGGAAAGACTCACTGGGATGTGTAGGAGTGAAGGAAGGGATTACTGTGATGTGAAGGAGTAAGGGAAAGACTCACTGTGATGTGTAGGAGTGAGGGGAAGGTCTCACTTTGATGTGAAGGAGTGAGGGAAGGTCTCACTGTGATATGGAGTGAGGGAAGGACTTGCTGTATTGTGTAGGACTGAGGGAAGGATGGGGGTGTTGTGTTGAAGTGACAGAAGGACATGCAATGTTGCGTAGGATTTAGGGAAGAGCAAACAGTGTCGTGTAGGAGTGAGGAAATGACTCACTGTGATGTGTAGGAGTGAGGGAAAGGATTGCAGTGTTGTGTAGGAGTGAGGGAAGGACGTACTGTGTTTTGTGGGAGAGAGGAAAAGACTTGTATAGGAGTGACCATACGGACTTGAGGGTTACTAAGGTTAAGCCTTTGTAATACACTTATGTTTTGTGTGGACGTTATCATTAGGCTGTCGAGATGATTTTCTTCACTTTAATTGTTTGTGAGAATTATGACTAATTTAATTAAGTTACCATTGTAAAGGGAAGGGCTTCAGTCCCACCAGTGAGCTAGACTACTTGTGATGACGTTACTGCTCTTGTGATCTACTCCACCCTTGTACACTATTAGTGGTGACGTCAGTGCTGTGTACCTCCAATAGGGTAGACTGCTGGTGTTGGCGTTGTTGATCTTGTGGTCTATTCCACCAATGACGTAGACTACTAGTGGTGACGTCACTGCTGTCGCCCATCAATGGAAATGCCTCGGGTGACTTTAGCTCGGTTTAAGATAAAATACAGAGGACCTGTAACATTGGTTACAAGCAAGTTGTAAAGATTTAATAATTTTTGAAAATCCCAGTAATTCTTAAACTAGCATCTTGTATTTCAGTGCCAGGAAGATTATAAAATATTTTGTTATGCAAATGAAGATGAAACTATTGTACAAACTAACATTGTTGAACTTGCAATATTTTACTCTGCCTAGCACTGAAATACAAAATGCTAGTTTAAGAATTTGCTGTAATTTTCAGCAATTATTATTAAATCTTTACAAATTGCTTGTAACCAATGAGTTTTTTTTGTGGACAACTTTTGTAATTGTAAATTTTATTTGCAGACGTTGTACATGCTAAAAAAATATATATTTTCTGGGGCAGTGTATCTTGTGAAGCCGCCAAGGGGCTGTGTGATGCCACTAGGGGCTGGTTGTGAATACTTGAGGATGTGTGATGCTCTGAGGAGGCTGATTGATGCTCCTAAAGGGGGGGGGGGGCTTGGTGATGCTGCCAGGGGCTGGATGAGGCTGCTAGGACTGTGAGGCTACCAAGGGCCATGTGAGGTGGCCAGAGGCTGGGTG